TACGGCACATATGATGAGCTGTGGAAGCAAAAAGCCAGAGCAAATACCGAGATAGACTCACCCTCTCTGCCTGTCAGGATGAAAAGACATGCACCGCTTGACATGCTCAACAGAGAATATATCAGATGGAAACACAACAGTCAGGGGATGCAATTCCACCACTCCAGGGACTTTATTCAGGTCTGGAGGCCTAAATAGTGTAAATAGAGTAGAATCTGATTCCTTAAAGGAGCCACTCATGTTTTTCCATGTATTACAGGAAAATATTCAAATGGTGCAAGAGGAAAGTAAACAGGTGCCAAAGCCAGAGGCTGCTGTAATAAGGATGGATACAACCAGGCCAGTACACATCTACAGCATCCAGACCTTCAACTCAAGTGAGCAAGCCAAGGAGCTGCTCCAAAAAGAGATGGCTAAGGTTTGATTCATGTATAGGATATAATGTTCAGTAATGTTTTATAGATACATACTATACACTACAATTCCTCAATTTTTAAATTTACATAATTCTCTGTCTCAATGTCTCTGAAATTAAGGCATAGCACAACAACAATGGAAGTCTTCTTGATGAACTAAATTTAAATTTAATATAAAATTTTTGATCCATTCAGTAGCTGAACACACTCATGGCATTCTTTCTACAATGCTTGTTCAGAAATTCTGTTTGTCTCAACACTGTTGCAGAAGTTCCCAAGAATGTGTTGCACTTGCAGGTTGCTCTGCTTTCGTCTTCTGTCCAGTTCATCCCAAACCAGGTCCGCAGGGTTTAAGTCTGGACACTGTGCTGGTCTTCCATCATTTGAAGTAACCGACTAGCAAAGCTGTATTAAAAAGTAGTGGATAGATATTTCAGTGGGAATTAAAGAGTTTTTGTGAGTTCTCTTTTAAACAAACAAAAATAGGTAATGAGAGCTCACTTCCTCTATTCCTCAACCTGTTCTTAATTCTTCATCTTGATCCCCCTTTTCCTCTCAATACATTTCTTTAACAGACGCTGATGTATTAGATCCAGGAGATGTAATGCTGGTATTTTCTGGGAAGTTTGCTGTAGCTCAAAAAAATCAGCCCAGGTATTGGTGAGCGTACCTGGGCTGGTGATGTCATATCTGAGCACATTATTGACAGACTGCACGTCAAACTCTGATCATATCAAAAAAACTTTTCTTGTGTTTCTCTGGTGATAACTTCAGATGCCTGGGCGGAGGTTCACCTACAGTCAGCAGTACCACAGTGCTACAGTGGAGCCTGGAGACATGACTTCTAAAAATGACTCCAGCTCTGCTGCTGCCTCTTCAGTTTGGTTCTCAAGTATGAGAGGTGACAAGTCCAAAGTGCACCCCAGACACCCAGATGAGGCTCGTGTGGAAGAGCTGAGGAAGGTGATGTCACTCTTCATCCTCCAGCAGTGTGGGGTTTCACAGGAACAGGAATGTTCAGTTTATTGGCATTTCCATGAAATTTAGTACGGGGATACAATTTTTATCGCTGTTTACTTTCTCGTCCTTTCTCTATGACCCAGTATGTTTAGGTTAGGATAGGATAGCGTGTAACATGACATGACTAATAATATTAGCCTTGCTGTTGCTTCAGTTGTCCTGACCACACAATAATTTATTGTCCCAGTGGCAGTTAAAATAACATTTTAAAAGAATTTGAGGCATCTGATTAATCTTCGGAGGTAGAGGTGTCCAGTGTGTGTTTGCAGTGGAGGGCTAAGTTGTTAATACTACTTTTCACTGTCCATGCAGCCATGGAGAGAGAACATCCTACACGCCAACATACTGAATCCCACACTCTCACGGGACAGATGGGTCTGGAACCAGCGCCATGAGGACTTTCAACTCTACAGCAAACCTCCCCCTTTCTTCGGCCCACCTCCAGTCACCATTCACCTGGCTGGTATGAACTTAAAAGGCTGTGCTGCATCAATGTACCATAAAACACCTTTACCTGTTAGAGGTGTTATAACTTTCAAGTATATGTCTGTTTTGTTGTATGAATGTGTATTTTTCCTTTCGCGTGAGTAACTGGCCAAATGTCACATTGACATATTTTCATTGTAGCTATCTATGACATCAGCTGTAAATGTCAGGGCTCGGTGTCAGTCCCTGAGAATCAAAGACTGAGGGCTTTAATGAGGACAGGCAAACAAGGAGAAATCCATCAAGACGTCATGTAGCCACAAGGTGTTACTTACTGCAAGCCACATGACCGGCTGTGGGGCATAGCTGCCAAAACCAGAAGCAAAACATACCCAAGAAATACATTTAAATAAAAATATTACATTTTTAAATGGTACTTGGATTAAAATAGCAAGTGAGCCAGCCTCTTACACCCTGTTTAAGTCTTAAAGCTCCATATTTTACACTTTTGTGGTGTTTTATTTGAAGTGTTGATCCATAAGAAGATATGTTTGTGGTTTTAAGAACCAAAAACCATCTCAATGTAGTTCTACATCTCCTCCCTCAGGCTTCTCTCTACAGCTCTAGTAACAACAGGTCAGTGAGCCAATCAGAAGGGAGAGTGTCTGAGCGTCTCTTCTTTTCTGAGTGATTGAATAAAAATATAACAGATTTCAGGTAAACACTCCGAGAAACCAAATCCTACAAGGTTGGATGGTTGGTCCAGGTGGGCGGGGCTTGGGGCGTGGTTGAGAGTGGTGACTGCTTTGTTGTGACATCAGAATTCCTGACGACTGGTTTTAAGGCTCAGTTTCTGAATACAGGCTGTGTGCATTTCTCTGTGGACTGAGCGCTTAGATACTTTCACAGTATTAATATAGAACCTAGACCTGCTTTATAATCAAACTACACATGGACATCTACCTTTATACTGTATGGGACCTTTAAAGGTATACTTGAGATTAGTTGTATGAGTAACTTGCTTGCTTGTAGTGATTTAGATGCAGTAGATCCAGTGGATGATACTTCCCAGCAGGCCAGCAGGTTGTCAGGCAGAAATAAACAGCAGCGAATGGAGCCAGTTAACAAACAAACCACAACAAAGATTCTAAACATTCACAACACAGCGCAACATCTTTATCGTATTTTCAATACTTGGTTTTCCTTTCATACCTCACTGTGTCATAGACCTATTTTTGTTTGGTAGAATGTGGTCCATGTAGCAAACACAAAACCAATCCAGCACATTTCTTTTAAAAGCCCATGATCAAAAGATTTAATTTATATGAGAGATGTTTAGAGGCACTAAAGTTAATATGAGTAGTTGAAGAGGGAGAGAGACTTTATGTAGGTGATGGTGGAGTTGGGAGTGACTGCAGCAGAGTGTTATGTCTGGTTACATGTAATTTGTTACATTTTATGAGTTTGGTTTTGTTCAGTTAAAGGGTTTAAATGAAGGCTGTTTGCCTAATTTAAAACTGATGGGGTTCTCAGGGGGAAAACTTGGGCTTAAAATGTGTCTTTGGACGACTTGCAGCAGTTTATATTCAGCCAAACTATGTAAACCACTTGGCAGTCTCCATTGTTTTGATGCTGTTGGTACATATGGTACGTTGTTTTCTTGCCACACAAGCTGCTTGTGTGCCATTTCATTTTCAGTATGTGAATGGTGAGTGACTTTAGCCCATCTGGCACAAACGGCTATGAGAGATGAGGCTGCAACTAGCATGAATGCACTGAATATTACAGTTTAACATTATCCATGAGTAGATTTTTTCCTTTAACTGTCTGGGCTCTAAGCTTTTGAAAGCCAATATTGATATGTTTTGATTGAAGCTCCAGATGGTGGATATTTTAGCCAATATCAGTCCTTCCTGCTGAGGAGCACACTCCTACACCACACTGGAGAATACATTTGGACAGGGAGGAACAGTGATATCAACAGTAAATAAAATTACCCAATAATATGTCCTGCTGTGTTTGTCCATTTAGTTCATTAGTTATATGAATAGTAAAGCATAAACCCTATTTAGCATTTAATCCACTGGTGTGCTGTTGATCCTCAGGAAAGTCTCTACAGCAGGAAGAGCTCGAAGCAGCCAGAGCTCAGTACAGTCACCAGCTGAAGAAGCCGGTTCCTGGTAGCAGCACCAACCGACCAGACAATGGCCCCGTCTCAGAGTTCATGGGGGAAAACTCAGAGGCAATTCAGGATATACTGAAAGATGAACCCAAGAAGTATTCACTGAGGAAGCCAGGCCGGATGCTGAAGGTACAGTATTATTTACTGAGCTGAGCCACTTTTGGAGCAGTTGACACAGGAACACTTGATACACAGTTATGACCACAGAATTGACATATCTTTATATGTCAATGCTGTATGCACATGCAGTATATTGTACATTTTAAGTGTATATGGTGAACATAGAAAACAGTTGCTTATTTACACATCAGGCAGTTACGATGCAACATCATCAGTCATTTGAAGATGTGTTTTTGGCCATCTGGTAAATAGAAGCTCTGTTTTTGGTCTCTACCAACACTTGAGGGTAATATCCGGGTCTTTAGCTGCTAAATGCTCCACTGATTTCACCAGCTAATTGCTATCTGTGTCTGTCTACTGTCTGGTGCTGAGCAGGTAGTGTGCAGTGGGTTTTCAGATCTTTATCACAAAAACAGCTGCAAAAAATGACGGTAAGAGCACTGAGAGTGAATCAAACGTTGAGAGCTGAAACTCACAGTAAAGCTCCATAAAGACAAGAGGTGAAAATTCTCTGTAGGTTCATCACTGTGCCCGTCCCCTCTCACATCGTCATTTCATAATTTGTTTTTGTAAAAATATTGATTGTAGCTGCTTTATTGTCTGTTTTTCACGATGCTTGCTAACTGGTTGCAGTTGACTGTTAGTTAAGTTATTACTTTATTTGGTGAGCCAACAGCTGTGTTTTGTGATGCAGCCTTTGCCTAAATCATCTGTGATGAACATGCCTGACAACAAAGCAGAGGCTCCAGCTCTGGCTCCAGGCCCCTGCATGGACAGCAGCAAGAACAACGCCACACCCAGACATATCTCTCTTCACAAAGATCACTACATGTCAGTTCAAGTTAGAACTTTTTATTAGGAAAAAGAGCTTGATAATACTAGAGAAAATATGAAACGTTTTTGTCTTAATGTGGTATGTGGTGCTGTTGTTTTCTCTAGTGGATTCAGTGAGCAGCACTCCTTCCTGCACAAACAGACTTCTCTGCCTCTGACAGACAAGGAGAGGAGGATCTTCACCTTTCAAAAGTATGCACCTAAAATGAAGACTCCTACTTCAGCCGTCCAGCTTTCCAAGAGTACTTTAAGAGAACCTTCAAACACTGAACCTTACACACCAAATAAGCTCATAAGCATTAAAACTAGTATCTTGTGCAATAATTCATTGTAGCATTAAAGTTAAAGAGCACTTTGGATTGAACTTAATAAAAGTCCATTAGAATAGAACTACCATTACACAAAGATCTGAGGTTTTATATTTGAAGCCATGGTTAATAAGACACAGTAACTATTAACACAAATGTCTTAATTTAATTTTTAAATAATCTCAAACAAAATCAGGACTAATACAAATTCAGGTCATTGGGATATTGAATTTGCCCTTGCTGTCCGATCAAAAGACAGTATTCTGGTCACATGGGAGAGCTCAGTATGATCTTTCAAGAGGATGAGAGCAGATGTAGGCTCTGTTGTCCAAGACCTCCCTGGCGATCTTCTTGATGTTGGCATCGTTGTTCTCAGGAGAGTCTGGAACAGATTGAGATGGGAATTACAAAACAAGCTGCTTTCATTTGGTAAATACAACATTCTCATCTGTCTGGATAATGTCACTGGATAACTTACATACAGGTCATTAAAAAAAAAAAATGCACAGTGTGACAATGAAAAGCAGTGGGGGGTTTGAGTGTTGGTATGTGGGGCTTGGTGGGGAAATTCCGCAACACATGCAAGTCTTTTTTTTACTGAGATGCTGTAAAAAAAAAAAAAAAAAAAAAAAGGAAAAAAACAGTACAGGGCTGTTCTCAATTACCATTTTGTGTTGTACTTACGTTTTTGCAACTGAGTCATCATGTAGTTGTTCTTAAAGAAAGCGTCCGCACAGAATGTGTTTGCAAGCAGCACCTAGACATATGAACAACACAGGCATTCATCAAAACCTGCAGACATGAAGCCGACTGGAAAACAACTGAAATGAAAACTAAATATCATGCAGGAGGCAGTCGCATAAAGTGCAATCAAATATGATCAAAAAGACGACTGTAAGCATTTCTTGGTTCTATTTTTTTGTTTGCAAAAAGACCACAACACTTTAATTGGAAACATTACACACAATTTCATCAATGAAATGTGTGTTTTATAGAAAGATGAGCAATTTTCTGTTCACAATGGAAATAAGAAATTCAACAGGTATAGAAAAAAAGGTACAGAAAAAAAGTTTTGGAATCACTGGAACTAAACCAGATGAAAGTTTCATGATTCAGGCCATATTTGCTTTTTTTTTGCTTTCGTGTTACTTTGTGAAACATTTCAGTCTTAAAAAAAGAAATGAACTTTGAACCTTTGGAATTTAACACAATTAAATAGGATCTGTACAGTTAGAGAAATACTGTAGGAGAAGGAGCACACAGCTGCACGTACAACTGGAACACAAGAGTGTTGCAAAAGTGGATAATACAAAGCATCCAATGCCTTCTTTAATGTTTCTGTTGAGGATTTATTTTGCTCTGCATCACTGTTTCTGATTATACACACACACACACACACACACACACACACACACACAACTTTTCCCCGTGAAAGTGGAGCAACACAATCTACAAAATACTAAAGTGAAAATAACTAACGTACTAAATCACCAATAAATAACCACTCATTTGAATAAATCAAAGGATGTGCAGAACACAGGCCTAATTAAACATGTTTGCAACAAAAGAGAAATAAAAACAAAATAGAGGTGACAACATGTTGTGACATGCTGCTGCTTTAATTGCTTTCAGCTTCCCACACTAAATGAAAACAGCTTTATTTAATTGGATAACAATGTGTGTTTTATTACGACTGATGAATACACTGATGTTAATTAAGACATAACCTGCTTTTTGCTGGATAATTACACTGTGATCGAATGCAAGGACTGAACAGTTGTGTATCACCACATTAGCAGCAAATTCTGACTGCAATTTAATTTTCAAACCACATGTTCGGATGGTGCTTCATTTAAAGACCTTTCATTAACACGTCACCTCAAGTCCCTGCCACCTTACGTAACTCCCTCCCTTCTGCTTAGCTTTTCCTTTTCTATATAAGGAAGACACCAGCACCGAAACAACACGGTGTATCGAACTGTCACCTCCAGGCACACTTTAACTTACCCAAGGGAGAGCTGTTCTTCATTAGGGGATGTGTGTGTGTGTAGTTTGCAGAAGTTACTACAGAGTCTCCACAATGCTATTTAACTAGCAGATAGTCTGAACTCCTGTTGTGTTAAACCGCCGTTTAATCTCTATATTATTTCACCATATGTAAATGCTGATACAGATAATCCCAGCATTGAGTATTTGGCATTGTGGAAGAGGGGGAGATCCCACCTGGACAGGTGGGTGCTGTCAGTTGTTTCATTGCTCATGGTATTCCTATACTGATCTTAACCTGAAATCACAAGTTTATTTATGATATACAGTGGGGCCCAAAAGTCTGAGACCATGTTCACTTGGATGAAAAAAATGGACTCAGGACTCAGACTTTTGGACCACACTGTAGGTGTCCAGTGAGGTAGCATTTAACCTGCACCATATGTATCATGTGACCATGGTAGAGGTACTATGAAACTCCGCCCCCCCCGCCCCAAGATGGTTATATTTTCACTTGTGTCTGTTGTGTATTTACTTGTCTGCAAGATTACACAAAAAGTACTGAACTGATCTGTTGGAACCTGGTGGAGGAATGGGACATGGACAAGGGAAGAACCCATTCAATCTGGCGGATCGGGTTAAAAAGAGTGGATGAATTTCTCAGGAAATACTGTTTGGAAGTTGGTGTTTAAAAAAAAAAAAAGAAAAAAAAGAAATCCGGATCTGACCTGATCTGGAAGAACATATTGAATCTGCATTACACACAGAGCTGTACTTTACATTTAATTATTAATATTAAATAACAGTGCATGTGGCACCAGCAGCATTTAGAAATGCTTACATCACTATTTCATTCAACATGCAACAATAGTAGTTGCAACATAGCAATTTATATAGAATTGTATAATGCTGATGTCATCGTTTCACAGAACAGGTAATGAAACCACACAGTGGTCTTACACAACGATTAAAGACAAGAAGTAAATAAAGCAACTTGACAACAAAAGAAGTGCAGGATTGTTTGTGCTCTACTGAGTGACATAGTTTTTATTTTCTTCTTATTTAGGACAGTTTGTGACTGTTTTGCCTTTAGCGTGTTTTTGCCTTTTTTTCTTGTCTATTTTTTATCTATTGTCTGTACTTGTCTGTCCCTTCTCAATCCTTTAAGATGATCTAATGCTGTCTCTGTGCTCCTCAGTTGGAGCTGATATTCGGGCTGTGCTGTTGGTGGGGGTGGGGGTGGGGTGCTGGTCATTTGGTTTGTTGTGCATCTGCATGTGGATAAGTACTACATGACATTTAGGGGTGTGTGTTCGCAGTCAGCCTGCTTCACTGAAGATATCCTTTTTGTTTTGTGTTGAAATGGTTAACAATGCTTTCTTTACCCATGATAATTGTTACCAGTACTTTCTCAGTATATTACAATTTATTTTCGAACTATAAAATGTTCATCTAGTTTTATTGTGGTAATCTCATTCTTTTTTTAAATTAATCGTGCAATTGCACTCCAAGCAAATCCCTGTTAAATTTTCTTTACACTTATGTTGACCTGTATGGAAACCTGTATTTAGATGCCGGCCTCGCAGGGATCTGGGTTAAGATGTGGCAACTATCAAGATTTCATTTAGTGCTTTCACCACCTGACAGAATTAATGCTATTAGCTACAGTTGAGTACATTAGCTGGTGACGCTTGTTTTTACAGGCCTTGAATTTCATCTGCTACATCTTGTTATGACATTATTAATTACAAAAGTTCAAATTAAAATAGTGCCATGTATGGTATATAGAACACAGTGGCCAAAACACTTGTGGTTTATTTTTTGCTGACATACCTGCTGTAGTACAGAGGCTAGAGCTCCGAGGAGGACTACTGCACTGATGAGATTTGTAGTGAATATACCATCTGATCTGATCTGTGTGTGTGTGTGTGTGTATGTGTGTGTCTGTCTGTACTGCACACACCTCATGGTCATGATTCCTGAGGCCGATGCTGATGGAGCGGCTGGCTCTGGACAGGACAGCTGTCATGGCGTAGAGGTTGATCAGCACATCTGCTACTCTCTTCAGGATGAGCTGTTCATCCACGATGGTCTGACAACATCAGTGAATAAACACAAGGACACTGTAATCATCCATCATTTCCAACCTCAGCAATGGTTAAAGTTGCTTCTACTTGATACTCGTGTGTCTGTAATCTGATGGGAAAAAAACTGATTATGTGTAATTTTGTAATTTATCATCAGGTAATTTAATAATTTTCCTGTAAACCTCAACCCAGAGAAAAAGGAAAAGTACTCGGAAATAAAAATTTGTTCTTGGCTGAGCTGCGTCGAGTCCGGCTTTCTCTGGATAACGCTCGCTCACTGCTGCTTAGAAAACAGCTGTGATTAATTACTTCCTGTGTTTAGAGAAGTTCTGACACAGCAGAGTGACACCAGGATTATATCTGGGCTAATACGTAAAACCTGTGGGGTCTAGTTTAGTGGGAATGGGATCTTCTTCTGGCAAGTTTAAATCAGATCAAGATCAAACGCGACCTCTAAGTGGGAGAGAAATATACGACTGTGAAATAGACGGAACCTCATGCCTCACACAGAGGACAACCCGCATTTATTAGTCAAGCCTTCACTAACCACTTCAAGCCCCAAACATTAGTCTGATAAGTAATTAAAGGAAAATTCCAGTTTATTATAACTTAGCTCTTCTTTTCATAATTCTCGACTTCATTCATTTTGCCTAGTATTAGTAAGATTTCAACCTCTCTGAGCGCCGTGTTTGTGGCCCTGTTGGGTTTAGTTGTAGTGTTTTTGCCGCGTTCCCAGTTGTCAGCATTTATATTTGTAAGTACAACAATATCCTAACCTGAGGAGAAAATATGACCCAAACAGTATCCTTCACTGCATGCCCCCCCCCCCCACACACACACACACACACATTTGCCAAACTATCAAATACAAAGGCAAAAATATCAAAAACAAATTAAATAAAAAAAATAACAAAATAAAAAATGAAATAAAACCAGTGTGTTCTTTTAACCATGCACAAAATGTTACCATGGTGACATTTAGAAGGGACTATTGGGGTTTGTCCACATTGAGCTTGTAAAATTTATGACATCAGCCTGGTGTTTGGGTGTGTACGCAGTAGACACTGGTTTTTTGTAAGGACTAAGCTTATCATGTGTTTTTTAATGAATGATTTGAATGTAACTAGAGCTGTCAATTACATGTAGTGCAGTAAAAAGTACAATATTTCCCTCTGAAGTGTGGTGTAGTAGAAATACAAAGTAGCATAACCTGGAAAAGTTAATGTGGATGTAATTTGTTTTAACATGAAAACAGCATTTTAAAAATGTGACATCATTTTCACATAAAAAACACTTTGACATGTGAGGAGGAGGAGCTGAGACCCAGCAGCCCTACAATTATCTGCCAATCCATTGCATCGGCAGAGGTACTGCTGCCTCAAGTTGGTCCATCTCACTTTATGATTTTGTCCCAATTTCGTCAAAATATCTTAAAAGTTGGGGACAGGCAGTAAGGCAAAAAACTCCATCATCACCTTTCAGCATATTGTAATTGAAGTGGTCTGGGAGCAAACTCGACGTCTGCACCTCCTCTAGGCTCTGTTTTCACACATTAGAAAATCTAGACCATGATGGGAGACTTCGGCCAATCACAGGTCTTTTCTGAGAGAGAGGGTGATCCTATTGGCTGTTCTACAAATGCAGATGCGTGTGCACGTCCCCTCAGATGAACATTTGTCAATATCTCGGTGTTTCGGAGATGGAGAGAACCTGCTGGACAGGTGACAGGCTGCTGACTTCATTTTCTCTAATTGTCTAAATGTTTTTATTTTCAAAGTCTGCTGTGTTTCTAGATTTCTGCCTCCCCCAGCTTTAATGTCCCAGGTCTCATCTTTAATGGTTAAAGAGAACAACAGTCAAGAGATGTTGCTGACCATTCAACTTAAAGGGCTTCTTTTAGTCATTACTTCAGCAGAATGAACAGAAACGTTCAAGCTCTTGTTCTTCTGCTCATGATGCCTGCTGAGTGATGAAAGCCCCCTGAGGACACTGTTGGATCAAAATAAGAGTCAAATGATACAGGAAGTGGGGATCTGGAAAGCTGACCGGTTTCCAAGAGGTTTATAGCATCTTTGTGAAAGCCATGATTACAAAAGCACAGTCACACAGAGACTTGGTCAGAGAAAAGAGAGGAGACTCTGGAGCAGCTGTCTGACAGATGAACACCTCAGCAACACTGATTGGGAGATATGAACAGATCTCTAATAACATTACGAAACAATGCCTTCATTCAGATGTTTAACACAAAGGGGAATTTTATCCAAAGGAAGTGGAAATATTTGAGCAGGAAAATCCCACAGCCGCTTTGTTCCAGGAAGTGAAATAAATCGAATGTTACCTTTCCGTATCTGTAGAGCAGGCTCTCCACGGTCGATCCAAAGAGGCCGACGTTCTGCTCCAGCTTCTTTGCACTTTCCTGTAAACGGAAAACAAGTGAGCCTCTAGACATACAACTGACACATCTAAACAGAAATGGTCCTTTCAGAGTTAAGAGAAGTCCTTACTGCCAAGCTGGGATGCACCACGCCGTCTTTTCCCGTCAGGCCAAGGTCCACCGGAGCTCCAAATGAGCTCTTCAGTTTCTTGCCTACCATGCCCAAAGCAAGCCCTATGTTTCCTTTCTTCATCTCCCTGGGTCAGAGCAGAGAAAAGACTGAGGGACTGATTTTTTTTTTTTTTTTTTTACTATTTACAAGCAGAAGATCCGTAATGTAAATATCATTGACAGACAGACCACATGTGACACACACAAATGACATCTTTAACCCTTAATACCAGTTGCACCAATCGATGTTTTTTGTATCAATGGAATGGAATAAAAATAATAAAATTGTTGTCTGTTTGTTTTGTGTTGCTGAATTGGAACTATGTTAAATTGTATCATCCCTATTAAATAAATGAATAAACTGAAATAAAAAACAAAAACTAAATGATTATATGTGATGGGAAAGGGATTGCTTTAATTTATGAACCTACAGAGAATACCCCCCCCCCCCCCGACTCTGCAGCTCATCTCAGCTCATCAGTTTTTACAGTCTTTCAGCTCATGGTTTTGGTCTTCCAATTCACAAGCGTACTTTTTAGATTAACGCTAAACACACTCCCTGCTCAGCACCAAACAGCAGACAGAGTTAGCATCTAGCTGGTGAATATATTGTGGCATCTAGCAACATAGAGCCACAATTTTCTTTTAGAGTTAGTACTCCAAGATGCTTGCAGCAATCTACCTGCAAAGTACCATGAAACACTGCAGAGGTGCATCGAGGAGAACTGGTGCTATTTTAAAGGTGAAGGGTGGTCATATCAAATACTGGTTTGAATTTAGTGTTTGCACTTTGTATAACATTAACTGATGTATACATTTTTCAAACGCATCCTCACTTCACTTTTAGTGACTAAAACGAGCACTGAGTCATAAAGTCAATTTTACATGAATATCTTTACCAACTTTATACTTTACAACCCTCACATTCTTACTTCACTTTCGCTGTGAGCACTTTGCCAGCGTACTGCATTCCAGTAAGAGCGACGTACATTCTCAGGATTTCATTAGTCCCCTGAAAACAGACAACAGAATCTATAAATGAATGTATAAATGTCACATTATCAATTTCACATTTGTTATACTATCACACACCACATTATATATATCTGCAAGAGTTCAACGTTTCCCTGTCAATAAAAATGTAAGATGCTCTTAAAACGTGGACAATAACATTTTGAATTGTGATTGATTATACGTGTTTAAATGGCTGATAAGCTGCAGGTCTGTACAGTCTGTGTATCTACGCACAGACAGAAGCCTTAACCCTCAACTGTCAACTTCATGCGATTTGATTCCAAAGTCAAAGGTGCCCCCCGGTGGCTACTAACGGAATGGATCATCTGAACAATGTTTTAACCCTGGAGTCCAAACTCCCACCCACTGAAACACATTTTCGAGTCATCACCAACCAAACTGTAAAATATTCTGATTTAAAAAAAAAAAAAAGAAAAGCTGTTACCTCAAAGATGGGCAGGATGCGACAGTCCCTGACGTAACGCTCATAGGGGTAATTCTTTGTATAACCCAGGCCTCCGAGGACCTGAAGAGCTTCACTGACACAAATCCAGCCTCCCTCTGAGCTGAACACCTGAACAGAAGACAGAGAACACACATTATTAGCCACTTTGTCTTGGTCTGGTTTGTCTGGTTTTACATGAACAAAGTTTAGCGACAAAGTCATCCAACCTTGACCATGGCGGCCTCTACAGAACAGTCTGGAAGCCCCGGTCTGTCCATCATCCCTGCTGTCAGGTACGCCATGCTCTCCATCACGAAGGCATTAAGGGCCATCAAAGCAAACTTCTCCTACAGTGACAGGGCAAACACACACACACACACACACACACCTTATTCACCTCTGACCAGACTGAGAGGTGGAGATGATCCCTGGGAGGGAAAAGTCAACTGTACCTGAATCATCCCGAATTCACTCAGGCTTTTGTTGAACTGCTTCCTGGTTGCAGCGTACTCAGCGGTCAGTTCTACAGACGAAAGAAGAAGTCAAAACCCACACACGGAAGCACTTATTCAGTTACTTCAACTGCTGCATAGGGTTTTTACCTATCAGTTTTTTTATCATTCCAGCTGAAGAACTCCCCATACTGAACCTCCCTGAGTTCAGGATGTTCATGGCAATCTGTCCAACACAAGGCAAAGATTTACACAACCTTACTGACACAGATACACAACCTTACAGATTGAGGACAGTAAAAAGCTTACCTTGAATCCTCCACCTATTTCTCCTATTACATTCTCTACTGGCACTGGGACGTTGTCGAAGGACACTTCACAAGCTGAAAAAGTGAAAAAGTTTCTTTAAAAATGACACGAAAAAAGCACAAACTCAACCAAGATCATTCCCAGTACTCATCCTTTCATTCAAGCCCGTGGGAGACTTACTGTTGGAGCCCCTGATGCCCAGTTTGTCCTCAGGCTTGCCGCTGGTGATGCCCCCAAAAGCCCTCTCCACGATAAATGCCGAAATCTTATCTTTCTTCACGCCATCTACAGTCACCTCCGTCCTGGCAAATACTGTCATAATATCTGCCATCCCTCCATTTGAAATCCAAATCTGATGAGACAAATTAAAAGACATCGGATCTTGAGAGTTCAATGCAAAAGAAAAAGTGTGGAAGGATCTTTTAATTAAATTTGAAGTCCAGATTAGACTATTGCGAGCTTGAGTCCTCTCACCTTGGAGCCGTTGATCAGGTAATGTTTCCCGTCCTCTGACAGGGTAGCACGGGTCTGAATGGAGGCTGCATCACTTCCACTGAAATGATCAAACTGAGTGTAAGTAAAGCTAATGCAACCATCTACTTACTATCAAGTATAGATGCTTTGTATACATCTCAATTCTTCCATTCAAATAAAAATCTTGATTGATACGTCATATGTCATCATCTGTAAATGGTCTGGGTAATTAGCAGAAAGATGTCCAATTTACTAGAGTTTGGTTGGTCTTGTCCAAATAGTCTGTAACTGACAGAAATGCAAATAATGTTGCAACCGTCCCCAGTCTGCCCTACAGGTGCATTTACACTACTGATACAGGTGTATTCATACTGTTGATACTGGTGTATTTGTACAACAGATAAACGTATATTTATTTTGCAATCTTAAATACGCACAGGTGATTTCCATTCAACTAATTATGTGACTTAAACCCTTTGGCTGCACCACTGATGCTTTAACGAGTGGGTCACTGTGCATTTGTCTGTCTGGACTCACTCAGGACTGTTGGGGAGAGACGAATGCAATGTAAGATGGAGGCCATCTTGCACAATACCAACCGTCCTCTCCACAACATTCTGGCAGGACAGAGAAGCAGCTACAGAAGCAAACTTCTCATCTGACTGCGCCGCAGAACAGAGAGGTTCAGGAGATCCTTTGTTCCCACTGCCATCAGGCTATACAACACCTCAGCCAAAGCAAGTGGACTAATCTAATTATTATTGTTTATTTATTATTAACAGTTTTATTATTATTATTATTATTATCAATAATGAGCTAATGGATACATGAATTTCCCCCAGGGGATAAATAAAGTATCTATCTATCTATCTGGGGACAGGGGTGAGTCCGCTGATTGACTGGCTCTTGTGATGTGTAGCAGCTGCTGTGGCTCAGTTTCACCATCTGCTCTGCCTGTGATAGAATGCTGATGTTACTGCTTTAGCAAAGATTTGATTGATATTGAAATAAGCTTTACATCTAATCAAATAAAATCATCTCACAAATTAATGCAGAAGTAGAAGGTGTCATTATAAAACAACAAAGTATAAGATATACATTTCTTTCTTTTGGGTTCTGTTCTTTTCTCAAAGGAGGAAACAGGACGGGGTGCATGGTGTAGCAGACTAATATATTCATTTATTAATTTATTAATGCGGTACTATCATTTATAACTGCCCTCTGGTTAATAAATGATGATGTTTTACACTTTACAATGAAGCTTCTTTTACCAGGTATTAATGGTAGTAATTCATTAGTAAGATTAATGAGTAGTAAGCATTAACTTGATCTTGCCAAATAGTGAGCCTGCATCAATGTATGAAAACCGTATTATAACTTGTTTAAAATTGTTTATTTATGATTTATAAAGTGTTAATAAGCAAATTAATAACCTAATTATAAATATGTAGTGTAGTCTATTTGTACTGAAAACTCAGCTCTTCTATTCACTTCTGTCTCTGTCAGTGTGTCACATAAGAGTGAAATGAAATTCTTCCAAGGTGTCCTGATATGAAAATACCAGACTCACCAGAGGATGCACCACCACTCATTCCTCACCTCCATCTCCTCCGTTACTGTGTATACCAACACCTTGTGCATACATGACTGTCCAGGTTACTCGTGTATAAACCTAACTGCATCTGGAGAATACATAATAAATAAACAGTAAATGAATTTTCAGCGTGTTTACCTTCCAGGCTCGGTCAAACAGAAAGCTGCGATGTGCTCCCCAGAGGCCAGTTTGGGCAGATACTTCTCCTTCTGGGCGTCACTCCCTGCGATCAAAATCCCCTGAAACACCAAACAGAGTCGTCATCTCAAAAACACTCATTTAATGTTACAACTGGTATTGTAATGATAGAATAGTTTACATAACAGGCGTTGAGATGTTGAGCCATGAGTTTAATGCACAACTCTGTTACACTTCTATGTTTACCTTGAGTCCGATGGCTTGATGTGCAGCCAGTGTTACAGCAATAGAGCCATCTAATGAGATGATCTCTGCCAGCCGTGCATACATGGTGTTGGACAATCCGAGACCCCCTGGGACGAAAAAACACAGACAACGCCTTCAGTTTGAGTCAGTAAGTCATAGTGGGACTGTGCAGTTGTGGCACCGCTGTAAACTTAGGATCTTGTACAAACTGTAGTGTTGTATAAGGAAACTGTTTTATGATCCATGCACAGCTCATGTCGCAGGAGTATCCTAAAATCTGTTATCCGAGATACATGTTCTGCAGAGTCACCGCATGAGAACTACAAACTTAAAATACACAGTGTAAAGCCCCCAGGTAGAGAATAATGGAATAATCACTATAGACAGAGATTAAAAAAGTACAGGCTGCAGGCAGCTCTTATCACTAAAGTTATTTACTCATTGACCTGTTTCCCCCCAGGTTATGGACAAACCCACAACACAGATCTATTTACTGAAGCACCAAGAGCAAATACAGTTAGTAGTATTGTTATTTATCCATGATGCCTAGAGGGTGAATCCTAATGACTTTGGTAATCCCTTAACTTTCTCATGTTGTGTGACTATCAAGTCAAAATTTGACCTTTGTCCAGTGTTTTAGTTGATGATGAAATCCCTGTAAAACTGATCAAATTCCCATCAGCCGCAGCTGTACTTTAGTTACGCTAATTCGCAAATGTTAGCATGCTAACATGCAAAGCTAAGATAGCGGTACACATCAGCGGATTACAGTAGCATTGTCATTGTGATCATGTTAGCATAATGACATCAGTATTTAGCGCCAAGCACCAATGTGCCAAAGTGCAGCCGGAGACAGGAGCTAGCACGGCTGTGGACTCTTTGTTTCGTGTTTTTTTTTTTAAAAAAAGGAACAGCAGTAATGTTGACTGTTTTTAACGTCATCATCAGAGCCATGTTTCATTCCTGCCACTTGCTTTCCAAAGCATGACAGTGCTATTATTATTAGTAGCACGCTGCCCTATGAAAATCATGAACATGCAGAGAGTTGAAACTTGATTTAGTGAATTAGTTCAATTTGTTCTGCGTCCATCGTCACAGACGTTTCTAATCAGTCTCCAATTACAACTGCATTATTATGCAACAATCATGTCACTATAGCAGCCTGTTAGCTTAGCTTAGCATAAAGCTAAGTATTTTGGCAGGCATTTATATGTCTGTCAGATTTATGTCAGTGTGATAGCGTCACTACCTGCAAGATACAGTCACAAAACTTTACAGGTGTGTAGTTGAGACCAAAATGAAAGCAGAGGTAATGATGGGCGTTCTCATGGGTCAAGACATGAACATGTTGACAGATGTCCTTGTGCTGGTGTGATCCCAATGCAAGATGGTCTCTAGTTACTCTCATTGGGCATATTATATGACAGCTACAGCTACAGTGTATGTGTGTGTGTGTGTGTGTGTGTGTGTGTCTTTGTTCAGGGTTTGTACCTCAATTTGGTTGTACATTATAATTAGGCCAAGTCTGAACTTACAACAGCTGCTGGAACCAGCTCCAGAAATCAGTTGCAGTTCATGAGTTCGAGGTTAGCCTCATTATAATGTGTTTACTAATTGCTAACTAGTGAACGGTGCTACAATTGTTTCCTAGCAAACAAGGTTAGGTTTAGCTGGTAAAACCTGATTTAGTAATAACTTAGAGGGATTCAGAGAAACTTAGAAATTCATTTACAAAAGGCTTCAGGTCACAATCATCTCACCGTACTCCTCAGGAATCATGATTCCAAACAGCCCGAGCTCCTTCAACCCATTCAGAGTCTCCGGGGGGATTTTGGCTTCGTGGTCAATCTTCGCTGAGTCAACTGAAAACACACGCACAAAAAAGACAGCCTGTAATTGTCAATTAAAAAAAAATCTCAGAGGCAACAGATTGTAAGATCATAATTCACACATATTAACATACGCTGCAGGATGCTAATAGCAAACCAGTTTTAACATCCACCACATCGCTTCTCTCACCCTCCTCATTGAAGAATCTTTCCACTGGTGCAACAAACTGGTTGATCTCCTCCAGCTCTTCATTTCCAATTTCTGGATAAGGGAAGACCTCAGCCTGCAGGAGAAACAGACTGTTTTAGAAAAGAGTGGTGGAAGAAGGATTCAGATCCTTTCCTTTAGTAAAAGTACCAATACACTAATGTAAAAACACTCCAGTGCAAGTGAAAGTCCTGCATGAAAATCACACTTAAGTAAAAGTACATAATTATTAGCAGCTAAATGTAGTTAAAGTATTAAAATAATGGTACTGATTGATCCCTCTGACTGATGTATTATCATACATGACGTCAGCAGCATGTTACTGACGTAGCTGCTCTAATATAGACTGTAAAAGTATATATTTTTCATCAAACATCGCTGAATACAGTAAGGTTTCCACACATTTTTTGGAGAATTATTTTAAATGAAAAGCTTACATTACTCAAGATGGGAAATCTGGTTTATTTCCACTGATAGCTGTAACAGGCATTCATCACCTGTGACACTAATCAGTGAGTGAAACTGAAGTGAAAAAAGTTAAAACCTGTAAGAAAAAGCCCCGTCGACACAATGCTGACTAACAAACTGTGATCCCTCTCCTCGGTCTGTGTGTCAGGTTTTGCAAGTCACAAGTTGACTTAAAATGGAAGGTGGAACAAGAAACATAACTGTGATGGCCTCATGCACAGCCGCACAGCTGGAACGGAAATATGCTAACATGCAGGTTTATGGTTTCACACAAGTTACGTTGGACACAACCATAGTCTGTTTGGTTTAGAAAACTTCTGGAAGTTTTTCCCATCTCCACACAGGATCTCTGGAGCTCAGCCAGAGTGACCATCAGGGTCTTAGTTCCCTCTCTTACCAAGGCCCTTCTCTCCTGATTGGTCAGTTTAGCCAGCAGCCAGCTCTAAGAAGCGTCCTGGTTGTTCCAGACCTCTTCCATCTAAGAATGATGGAGGTCACTGTGGTCTTGGGAACCTTCAATGCAGCAGACATTTTTTTGTACCTTTCCCCAGATCTGAGCCTCAACACAATCCTGTGTGTCAGCTGTGAGACCTTATATCGACAGGTGTGTGTCCAGTTATCTGAACTGACCACAGGTGGACTCCAATCAAGGTGTAGAAACAAGAGAAATGGGAGGCAAATTTCAAGTGTCATGACAAAGTGTCTGAATACTGTGATATTTGTGATGTTTTTCCTTTTTAATAAATTTGCATAAAATTATGTGACTGAAAAAAAAAATTATATTCTGTCAGCATGAGGCTCTAACATGAATATTTGAGTTTTTTTTTTTAATTAACATAAATTTACGACTTAAATACCTTTTCTAATAAATTTACAACTTTAACTCTTGAACATTACCCCAGCTGGGGCAACCGGAATTTTTACCTTCAGATGCCCTCACACAGTACATTAGGTTAGCAGCTGAGGCTAGACCAGATTTTTATAGGTTAACCAAAGAGGAAGAGGGGCTTCACCCGCCCATCACTGGCGACGACAATCATTC